AATGTTTCTCTTTTCTCCTATTCTTTCACACTCAGTATCCCCTTGTGTCTTAGTGGCTTTACTGCATTGGTTGGGGTGAAATGATTAAAAAAAGATAAATAAATTACCTCAAGAAAACTCAGATGATAATATGAATGTGTTCTGCTGGTTAGCTTGATGTAGCTACTAGCAAAAGACAAGGCACAATTCGGATTATTTTTTATCTGCAATTTGTCTGCAATTTATACTGCTCCTTTCCTTTATTTACTTTTCTTAATCTTTTACACATATTTATTTTCTTTTTGGCTGAGTTCTGAATGGTGAGGAGCAATAACAGCTAGTCTGCTTTTTACTTTCTTACTATTAAGCATTAATACTATTGAAATTTCCTTGATGAAACATGGGCAATTATTTTGAAACTTTTGACTGAAATTTTGTTCATCTTATTTCTACTGCTTTTTATTGCATTCATTGTATTAAATGTGGTCGTATTCAAATTTTGTCGATGAACAGAGTTGCCAGCTTTGCCAAGTTCAAATACGGGACATTTTGCTCAAGTTTAAATTTAAATTTCTAAAAATACTTTTAGAAAATAAGTTTGCTCTATGTTGCCAAATTATATGATATTTCGTTCATCTTATTTCTACTGCTTTCTAATGTCACCAAATTATTTCAGATCATTTTATATAAGCAAATTAGAAGATATTTAAATTTGAAGAGGTGTTTTATATTTCAATTCAGCCAGTTGGTAATTTCCCTTATGAATATTTTTTTTTCATTAAAAATATTAGACATAATAGTATTTAAATGTGCTTAAATTCATTAAGTCTTGGTAGCATTGTGGAAAGATCGTACAAATGATTACCATAAATGTATTTATAGAAAATGCACAGGGAAGCTAAATTACAGTTGTAGGAAAACAACTGAATCCAAGATGCCAGTTCATGACCAATAATATTGCCGATTCTTTGGATTATATTAAGAATCTCTAAATATTAGATGTAATAGTATTTAAATTTCTTAGATGTATTTGTTCTATATTTTTGTTACTTTTTGTCATGACTCTCATGTGGTTTATGCTTTATTTCAATTCTGTGTTTCTTATTCAATGATTAAAGAGAGACTTTAACTAACACTTGTTTGTAATTAAGATGAAAGAAATTAATAGTACTAACAATGTCATTAATAGGACAGATCATTCATTTTTATATATGTCTATATCTCTGAGATGAGGTATTATGATTACTTGCATTATTTACATTATTTGAACCATTACCCTCATCTTCATTGCCATATTCACAACATTTTGGCTGTTGTATACATCGGTCTTATTTAGATGATAGGAATTCCAAACTGAACTCTTTATTTCATCCACTGGGGTAGATTGTTCTAGTTCCCTGTACCATGTCTCTTCCAGATGTTTCAGTAATTTCCCTTTACCTAAACATTCCAAGTTTTGGTTCACCACTGCTGTGGCCTGGTATTTAACTCACAACTCTTTGTGTCTGGTCGCTGGATCTAACATCTTTATCCACTGGCTATGAGTCCTCAAGGACATCCAGAAAAGGCATAGATAGAGATAGATATATAGATAGAGTTATATATGATAGATATGAATAGAATGAGATATATAGATAGATATACATTATGAAATGGACAAAGACTGACAATTATTTTAAGACATTTTTTATGTTTATATGTTCTCTTTATAGATACAAATATTTAAGTAAATACTCTGTTTATAATAAACAGTATTAACAACATTTACCGGCCTGAATGTCTGAAAAATTTTCATAGAAAACATGCGTCCTCCGACAGGAATCGAACCTGTATCCTATACGGAACTGTCATATAGCCTGACATGCTTAACCAATTGGGTCACAGAGGAGAATTGTAGTTTAAAAACAGTAAAATCAACGTTGCTAACTGAAATGCTCCTCTGTGGTGAAATCAGTAAAAGCACGTCAGGTTATATGACGGTTCTGAAATAACTTATTTTCCTAATAAGTTATGTATATATGTAAGTTATTAATAAGTTATTGCAAAATTCACTTGAAGATGAAACAGAACTAATGCTTTTAATTTAATTATATAATTAAATTTGAAGTTTTTAGCTTCAATTTTTGAAACATGGTTATTACTGTGTAGCGAAGAAACCATATTTTAAATCAGTTAATTTATAATATATAAGGATATATAGATAGAGATATATAGATATAGATATATATAGTAGATCAATAAAAGGTAAATGTATTTATCTCATTGATTTTCTCCAGATTTTTACATCAAAACATTCATTTGATCCAGATGTGTGATAAATCTATTGAACTTACTATCAGATATCATGTTTATATTCCACAGAGGAAAAGCAAATCATAAATTTGAAAATTAAATGTTAGAGTTACATTAAAAAACTAACAACATCTAAATTTAGGACCAGTAAAAATGTTTTTTTTTCACTTTTTTTATTTAATATCTCTGTATATACATGTACATATATTAACCTATTCATATGTGGGCACATATAGATGTCTTTTTGCATTATTTTTTAATATATAATTTCGTTATGATTCCAAATTTCACAACAATCACACAATTCATAATATTCAAACTTATCAGTTATTATTTTTCGTCTGTATTTCTGGGATGAGGAGTTATCATTATTTTTATTATTTATATTCAGACAGCAAAGATGAGGACAATAATCCAAATAGTGTAAATTACCAATTATTTATTTGTTCATTTTGAATTAAATAATTATGCATTCAACCTATTTTGTTGAATTATTTTATATTATTTTTATATTATTTTATGCTATTTTATATTATTTTATATTAATTTTATATTATTTTATGTGTTATTTTATATTAATTTTTATATTATTTTATGTGTTATCTTATATTAATTTTGTATTATTTTATATTATTTTGTATTATTTTTATAATATTTTATATTATTTTTACATTATTTTTATGTTATCTTAAATTACTTTTACATTATTTTATATGATTTTATATTATATTATATTATTTCATATTATTTCTATATTCATTATTGCCATATTGTCCTCATCTTTGTCGCCATATTTATTACAATGTTTCAACTCTCCGGCCTTCTTCAGGTGGTTGGAATGTCGAACTGAACCCTTTATTTTACTCACTGGTGTAGACTGTTCTAGTTCCATGTGCCATGTTTAATTGATGTCAGTTATCAGTTATCTTCTGTTAATTTCCCATCTCCAAGTTCTCCATTGCCTTAACTGGGTATTGAACTGACACTCTTTGGGTCCTGTAACTGGATCTAACTAACACCTTTATCCACTGTGCCATATGACAACAAAGATGAGGACAATAGTCTGAATAATGTAAATAATGTACATAATACCTCATCTCAGAAATATAGACAGTTATTTTCATATTATTGTATGTTATTTTATATTATTTTCTTTCAGTTTTAGATTATTTACACATATTTGTATATCATGTATATATGTAAAAACACATATATAAACATTATGTACATACATTATATATGTTTCAAAAGTTATCATCACCAGAGTTGATAGTGGAGACAAGCTCCCACTGTCTATACAATACTCCTGGGTCATGCCTTTCAAGTAGCCTCTGACTACTAAGAGAGCTGAGTATCAATTTCAGTTGGGTTTATTATATTCAGTTACACACAACTACCCTTGTGTCCGCATATGTTTAGTACTTGCCATTAAAACTGTGATAGGTTATCTCTTACTAATTGCAACGGACCAACAAGCTAGGTCAGCATTTGTTCAGGATGTGACAAATTCATTTGACGGGTGAATGTCGCAACAAGTTCAACTGTTACCTACCAGTTCCCATATGATCACTTAAATTAAGCAAAGTTGAGCCTGGTCAGTATGCAGGTGGGTGACCATTTGAGAATACCAACTTGGATGTACAGTTGGTATAATAGATTATGGCACAGAATTGTTAATCAGAAAGCCAAGTTCCAATTCCAATTAGGTCTATTATATTCACTTATGTGCAAATATCCATGGGAAAGATATGAATCCATCTCTTCTAGAGACGTGTATATATATTTTTACAGTATGTATTAAGTATTGACCACTGCTCGGATACTTCAAGGTACCTCAGTTTCTTAGTTAATCTTGATTCTTTTTATGCCCTTTTGGTCTTGAAACAAGTCCAACTCTCAATTCATTCAACTTGTTGAGATGTTAGCCACTGCTTCAAGGTACCTCAATTTCTTAGTTACTAAATTAAATCAAATAAAAAATTCGTCTGAAAATGAAAAGTTTTTTTCCCCAAAATCATTGGCAAGGAAGGATTTTTATTATCTCAAAAAAACATTATTACAATCTAAAAATATTTCCTGCCTTTAAATAACCTGACAAGGGTTGATAAACCATAAAAGAACGGATCATCAGTATATTTTGGCTATCCCACTTTTTTGGTTTGAATTCTATTTTGTGAGAGATTAGAGTTTAAATTTAATGACTTTAATAAATAATATAGTTTTATAGATACTGTCATTGGTATATCCTTCTTTTTTATTGCCCAATGGCGATATTAAATCGAGGTATTCTGTTAGTAAACCAGCATTTGTGACAACAGCAATAATAACCACTTACTGTCGACAATTGATCACCATTAATAATTGTGGTTACTTGTTATTTATGATAAGAACACGAACTTGAAAATAAGCTGCAGTATTGTGCAGACGGTTGCTCATTGATTTTTCAATATGTTTCCATTGGTCGGGGTATTTTTGATAAGTAACTGTGAACTTTAGGATTGCACGTGGAGTCATTGAATAATAATAACAACAAATGCATTGGATAAAGTTTTAATGACTGGATTTATTTTTATTTTTTCTTTTCTTTGTCAGTCTAAGAAACTGAAGCCGCGGTGCCAAAATTTAAAAGAGGTTGTGCTTTGATTGTCATGGCAACAGATAAAAAGATGGTGCAACAAAATGATAATAGTCCATGTCCAATTCAGACAGCCGCGATTCTCACTGTGAGAATGGTAATGCAAGGAAAAGTAAGTACTTTAATTTTTTTTCTTTTTTATTCATTCTCTTCTTGTTATCATGTCAATGGTGGTGTAACTGAAAGTTTGCACAGCATACAAAATTGAAAAGCCAAGTTCAAATTCCAGTCAGATTCATTACATTCACTTACGTGCAAATATTCTGGGGAAATGTATGAACACAACTCCCCAGCTATGTGTTAAATAGTATGAGTTTTATCTGAAAAAATTATTGTTAATCTGAAAAAAATTTTAATGCGATATTCACTCATAAAAAAAAAGAAAATATTCTTACAATCCAAAATATGTTTTGGCTTTAAATAACTCATAAAGGGTTGATAAACTGTAAAAAAAACAAATCAATCAACCTCTTCTTACTGTTTCAGCTAATCATTTTTGTGTGCAGTTTCTTTCTCATTTTAAATAATTATTTGCAAAATTTGTATATACCCAACAATTATTTTTTACTGTATTATAGAAACAATTTTTTTAATGCATAAATAATTAAAAAAATTATTGAATTATGGTTAAGTATGTTTATTGTCATGCGATGCGCATGTGAATTTGTGGCATTTTATGAATTGCCACATACGTGCATACATATCTACTTTGGTAAAAATGACCATGACACACAAATGTATCACATGGCAATACGAAGAACGATTATCAAGGATGCACACTTGCATCCTTTCTTATAGTTTAATAAATTTAATTTAGAGTCCAAATATCTAAGATAATAAACTTATTAATAAATTTAATATTATTTACCAAATTAAAGTATAAATAGTCCAATATAGAAGTTTCTAATAGTTTTTGTCTTGCAAAAACACTGATGGCGTTATGTAAGAGTTCAAATATTTAAGGTGATAGTGAATGCGTTAATTTAGTTTTATTTATTTATTTTTATAAAGCATAAGTTGTCATATATAATAATTTTTAATGGCAACTAACAAAAACACTGATGGCATTATGTAAGAGTTCAAATATTGAAGGTAGCAGTGAATATAAAAATACTTAGTTTTATTTAGTAAAATTAAGCATAAGGAGTCATATATAGCAGTTTCTAATGCTAACTAACAAAAACACTGATGACATTATGTAAGGATTTAAATATCCAATGTTGTATTGAATGTGTTAAGTTAATTATATTTACTAAAATAAAGCATAAGTAGGCTTATACACCAATTTCTAACAGTAACTTTAATAAAAGCGTAGATTATTAAGGACTCAGTTGTCTAAGGCAGGGGTAAGCAACATACGGATTGCATGCCACATGTGGCATGCCAAGTAATTTCTAATGGCATGCAGCAACAAATGACATGAAGTCCGAACCAATAACTACTACAATACCTCACGTTTTTTACCTACATGAAGTGGAGTGATTATATCGAGCCAATTGCTACATTAGCTGCAAGGTAGGTTGGTTCACTGTGTTGTGCCAAAAGTGTTTTCTTGTCAGAATCCATTCTGCACATTTATAAATCTACCATTTGCCCGAGTATTGAATACTGTCACCATATCTGGTCTGGTGCTCCAAGTGTGCATCTCAAGATTCTCAACAATATCCAGAGAAGGATCTGCAATATAATCGATCTTGACCAGACATCTTGTCTCCAGTCACTTTCTTACCAATGTTATGTGCCTTCTCTTCTTTCATAGCAACTGCTCGGATGAGCTTCTTTTTTCTTTTTTTATGAGACTACATGAATTTAAGCATGTTACTAGATTGGTAACTAAGTCACACTATTTTAATGTTGAACTTGGTCGATACAACTGCCACTTTTACTATAACAGATCTTTTTCTCACACTCCCCCCCCTGTGGAACTCCTTCCTGATTTCTTGCTTTCCTGATAACTACAATTTTCAAAAATTTAAATGCAACATCAATCACAATCTTCTCTTCTTTTTGGCTTCAATCCTCACCATTTTCAGTGTTCTCATTCACTTTCACTCCCCACGACACCCTGTGTTCTAGTGGTACTTTCGTCTTGCTAGGGGTGAAATGATTAAAAAAAGAAAATTTAATAATTTTTCAACTAAACTTGTCAAAGAAAACTATATTACTCTCTCAATAGAGTAAGATACCAACATTTCACAACTCAGAAAAATCTTTTCTTTCAAATTTATGACATAATTTTAAACTTACTAACATTATTGTTTTGTAAATTAATCCATGTTTAAATTATTAATGCCATATTTGAACTGGAGCTGCCAAGTCCTTGCTTGCTTGTCATGATATAGTCCAAAAGCCACGGCCTTGTGGATGATGAATTATTTTCCATCTACAACCCCTTTCGCACAGGTTTGGTACATTTCAGCATAGCCCATTTGACATTGCTGATTCGGCGTTAGAAAAATTATTGGACTATTTGGCACTGCTGTTTAGGCATCAGACTGTTTCAATGTCACTGTCTTTAACCGGAGACAACCTCCCCACCCACAAAAAAAGGATAAAAGCATTGAAAACACCCAACTTTCAATATGACTTTTTATTCCTTTAAGGAATTAAGTTTCCTATTAAAACACTAAAGGAAAAATTCCCCATTCCCACAGACAAAATGTTGTGTTCCTCTCACTTCTCTATCGCTATTTCCATGGCATGTGTTCCAATGAGCTATATACCTTGGTTTCACCAACCCTGAACTTTGCAACTGGTACCCAGCATGTCATCTACATAAGGATGTACCTATTCTGTTTATTCCATTCCAGAAGTAAGTTCAACTTGGATACCATCTTTTCAAGAAATACTGCTTTGGACGACAGACTCCCAATGTTTTCCCAATCATTTTAATCTTGACCTCTTCAAGTCTAGGGTTAATAATGCAGTATTGCTCTACCTTGAGTAGCTCCTGGTCTTTTTACCATGTGAATATTAGTATAAAAAGGTATATTTTACTTAAAATTACATTAGGAAGCCATTGACTCGAGCCTTGAACAGGTTAAGATTGTAGTGATTGGGGAAATATCCTGTTAAGAGTCTGTTTCACAGGGCAGTGATTTGCAGGAAGAAGCTATTCAAGTGGAATTTATTTCCCACCGATGGGACACAGAGAGAATGTGGGTGGTTTGCTACTATGTAAGTGGCATGGTGTGTTCTTGCTGTGAAGGTTTCACTTGGCGGGACTAAGGAATCTAGTTCATCTGAGCACTTTCTGTGAAAGTAACTGTTGAGCAGTGAGAGGTTTGCCACATTCTGCCTGTGGGAGAAAGGCTAAAGGGTGGAGAATAATTTGTCACCCCCAAGAAGGCAAATATGAAAAGTATATACAGAAATTCATTGCAAATGATTTTAATACTGTTTCTGTAGCCTATGTTACCATAATTAGGATTTACGAAGCAAATCTATTAAAACTTTCATTCACACTTGCTTCAAATAAAATAATTACACTTTTTGTGTTTTTGACATAGCATTTTGTTTGTGGGCAGAAAAGTTAATGATGACCATTTTTTATTTATTTCTTTTCATAAATTTTATTTCTCAATCTGTATATTATACATTGAAAATCTGGAAGAAAGGTATTAACAGTTTCTTATTGCTTCTTTCTTTAAGTGCTTCTGGTAGGACAGTGCTATAAAATGACTGAAGAGTTAAGATTACTTAAAACAGTTTATCAATAAAATAGGCTTTTCCAGTTCACTCACTATTACATAATATTTAATATTAAAGGGAGTTCTTTTGTTTAAGATTGTGTAGAAAGTTAATATTATTATATATATCATTATTTTTACTTTTATTACTATCCATTTTAGTTATTGCTGCTGTTGGAAGTCTTCAAATAATTTTTGCTCTTCAGTAAAGTTTTTGTGATTCTGTAGCACCAAGATTAATGAAGGATTGTTTTTTTTAAGACCAACATTTTATAATTTATTTTGTATTTATTAACACTGTGTGCATTTACTTTCAAACTTGGCCCAAACTCGTAATAAATATATGGTGAGAACAGATGTTGTCCTAAGATAAGCTCCAACAATCACCATAAAGAACATTACTTGATTTGTCAGGTTAATATTTTGGTTTTGTAACAACTTGTGGTGTTGCGTGAAACTATTCCCCAGCACAACCTATGCTATATTCACTTTCATTATTTCCTATACTAAATTTGTTATAAGTGATCCATACAACACTGAGATATTTGAAGTGTTTAGTATTTACTAATTCCACATTGTGAAATTTTGATATGGATATAAGATCAGATAAAAGTGTTCATTTGCATGAAGTTGTTTTTAATAATCATTGATCTGAGAAAAACTGTTGTAGATTGTAGATAGATGGTAACATAGATATTTCTGAACAGATCTGGTACCATGCATAGCGTCTATACGAAAGTATCAAACTGGCTTTACTATTTAAGAACATGACTTGTGTTTCTTTGGTTATTCTTTTGACTCTGTGGCAACTTGCATGTTCGACAAAACTACCTCTAGCGCGGCCTATTCTATCTTCAATTTCCTGATCTCCTATACTAAATTTGTTTTAACTGATCAATACATCGAGATATTGGAAGTATTTAGTACTTACTTATGAGAAATCATACAAAAAAAACTGAAAATCGTATCCCGTATACCACATTATTTTCTGTCATTTTCTATTTGTCTTCTTTCAAAATGATCCGCCAATAGATTAGATTTTTTTAATTCTGTTTTCTTTTCCAAAGCGTACTTTGTCCTTGAGCTCAAAACCTTTTTTCTATACTTATCAAACCATTCTGCACACATCTACTGCAACATTTTTAATCATTTCAACCTGAGCAAGTCGATTCAATATTCAGTTTCATTATCTTCTATTCTAAATTTTTTATAAGTCATCTATACACTGAGATATATGAAGTGTTTAGTATTTACTAATTCAGTTTAGTATTTACTAATTCCATTTAGTATTTACTAATTTTGAGATGGATATAAGATCTGTTGAAAGGCAGTGATCATTTGCTTGAAGCTGTTTGTAACCATTGATCTGAGAAAAATGGTTGTACATAGATGATAATATAGATATTTCTGAATGAATCTGGTGCTACACATGGGATCTATATGAAAGTATCAGACAGGCTTTACTATTTAAGAACATGACTCATGTATTTTTGGTTAATGTTTTGACTCTGTCACAATTTGTGGTGTTGGACGAAACATGTGGCCTATTCTATCTTCATTTTCCTTATTGCCTATAAGGAATAGGTTATAACAGATATCGTACATATGTGCTGCAATGTGGATTCTGAGAATCGATTCTGTCAATATGAAAAAAAAATCATTTAACAATATAGATATAAGTCCTCTGTTGCTTATTTGTATATATTAACACTGTGTATTTTCTTTCAATCCTTGCACAGAACAATATGGTGGGAACAGACGTTGTCCTAAGATAACCTCCACCAACCACCATAAAGAACATTAATCAAGTTGTTAGGTTAATATTTGGGTTTTGTAACAATTCCTGATGTTGGGTGAAATTACGAAACAGCAAAACTTATGCTATGTCCAATTTTCTTATGTCCTAAAATAAATTTAATCTATACAGTGATGAGGTTCAGAAGCAGTTTTAATATTAATGGGAGTTTCATTGCTTTTGTTTAAGGTTGTTTGGAAAGACAACATCATTATATATATATATATATATATATATATATATATATATATATATATATATATAATTATTTTCTCCTCTACTTACTATCCATTTTAGCTGTTGCTGCTGTTGGAAGTTTTCAATAAGCTTTTGCTATTTGGTAAAGTTGTTTGTGTTTCTGTAGCACCAAGATCTGATGAAGAATTGTTTTTTTAAGACCAACATTTTACAATTTATTTTGTATTTATTAACACTGTGTGCATTTACTTTCAAACTTGGCACAAAACCCATAATTATATGATGGGAACAGATGTTGTCCTAAGATAACCTCCACCAATCACCATAAAGAACATTACGCGAGTTGTCAGGTCAATATTTTCGTTTTGCAACAACTCGTAGTATTTGGCGAAAGTATTTCTAGCACAGCATATCCTATGTTCAATTCCCTTTTCTCCTAAAACTAAATTTGATCGATACCCTGAAATTCAGAAGCAGTTTTAATATTGATAGGAGTTTCATTCCTTTTGTTTAAGGTTGTTTGGAAAGACAACATTATTAATATATCATTATTTTCTCCTCGACTTACTATCCATTTTAGCTGTTGCTGATGTTGGAAGTCTTCAATTAGTTTTTTCTATTTGGTAAAGTTCTATGTTCAATTTCCTTTTCTCCTAAACTAAATCTGATCTATACACTGAGGTTCAGAAGCTGTTTTTGTCAACTATATTATTGTTATTGTATCAGTTCTGTTTTACACTTTAGTAGCAGATAAGATATAAAAAAGACAGGTGTGAGCTGATATTAAAGGTGATTAGACTAAATTTAGAATGGCTTATTTACCTATTATATTAATCTTCTGTTGTACGCAAGGTCAGCTGATCTAGGTGACCTCTTGGCGGCAAGGGAAATTATACTTTTAAGCAATATAAAATGTCTCTGTCTATATCCCTGACATGAGGTATTATGATTACTTACATTACTGTTATCCTCATCTTTATTGCCATATTCACAACGTTTCTACTGTTGTACACTCCGGCCTTCTTCAGGTGATTGAGACATGGTCCAGTGGATAAAGACATCAGTTAGATTCAGTGACTAGACCCAAAGATTTGTGAGTTCAATACCAGGCCACCGCAGTGATAAACCAAACCTGGAGTGTTGAGTTAAAGGGAAATAACTGAGACATCCAGAACAGGCATGGCACGTGGAACTAGAACAATCTACCCTGGTCAGTGACATAAAGGGTTTGGTTTGAAATTCCAATCACCTGAAGATGGTTGGAATGTACAATGACCAAAATGTTGTGAATATGGCAATGAAAATGAGGATAACAGTCCAACTAATGTAAATAATTTAAGTATAAAATGTCTACCAATTATTTTTATCCACTCAGTACTGTTATTAAACATTTCTATTGCTATGTTTATTAAGATCCCATTCAGTCAACAGTGTTTGTTTAAATTACTGACCACTGACAATGCCTTTCTTCCTGAGTTTGTTTATTTCCATAATAAAATATAGGTCAGTGCCATTAAGGTGCACTCCAATAGACCATGACGTCACTTAAGCTGTGCATACACGATGGACTACAAAATCTTTTGTCATGTTCATATTAGAATCATAATCATCATTGGATCCCAATTTGAAACAAATTCAAACTTGATTGTGACACTTTTTAAAGACTGATTTTTTTCTGTATAATCTTTTATTTTATTAAATTCATTAAATTAAGTTTTAATACCTTTAGTATATCCGTATTTTCGTATTTGACATTTAATACCTTTAGTATATCCGTATTTTCCCCTGGCATTTACTATTGTTTAGGTTTTGGCATTTCACACTCACTTATGGATATGTAAATTTATTAAAAATGTTATTTCATATTAGTTTCATAAAATTTGTATTGCATCATTACATTGCATAGAAACCTGTGCTTGTACGTAGATGTCACTATATTGTATTGGTATATTATTTTTATTAATACATTACAATACAATACAATGCAATACAATTTTCATGGATATCAACTTCCAATCTCACAGTGGCAAAATTGTGAGATAAATAGTGTGAACATGGTAATTAATACTGTTTTTATCCACAAATGCTCTATGATTGATGTCAAGCAATTTACACACATACAAATAATAAATTTTAAATAATATAATCATATATATATATATATATAGGTCAGTGCCATTAAGCCATGCACCATTAAACCACGACATGATGTCGCTTCAGCTGTGCATGCGCAATGGACCCCAAAATCTTTTGTCATGTTCATATTAGAATCATAATCATCAGTGGATTCCAATTTGAAACAAATTCAAACTTGATTGTGACACTTTTTAAAGTTTAATTTTTTTCTGTATAATCTTTTATTTTAATAAATTCATTAAATTGAGTTTTAATATCTTACCTGTAATACCTCAGAATCACTGTATTTTCCCAGGTATTTACTATTGTTTAGGCTTTGGCATTTCACACTCACAATTGTGTAATGCTTTGGATTAGCACTTCACAGATATTTTGAGTGTGAAATATACAGATTACAACCTTTATCCTAACTTTAAAAATTCACATATTTACTCAATGGGATTTGCTTTAATATTGATCATTACTGATTTTCTTAAATAAAGCGTTATTATGAAGTTTATTATTATTTTCTATTATGTACATGTAAATTTATTAAAAATGTTGTTTCGTATTAATTTTGTAAAATTTGTATTGTATCATTACATTGCATAGAAACCTCTGTTTGTACATAGATGTTAGTAAATTATATGCTAAAAATTTTTCATGCTGCTTAAATGTTTATAACAATAGCCATTACAATTTAAAAGTCATCCGTGCATTGAATACTGCTACCATATCTGGTCTAGTGCTCCTACTATATATCTTGAGATTCTTGGCAAAAGCCAAACAAGAGTCTCTGATGTAATCGATCCTGACTTGACATAGATACTTGTGCCCTTTCTATAAGTACTTTTATGGTAATTTTTAGGATAAGCTTTCTTCTCTGGGAAATTAGACTTTGTGAATTATGATGAGACCTAGCTGCCAATCTAGTACTGCATTTAGCAGTACTAGATTGGCAGCTAGGTCTCATCATTTTACAGCTGAATTGGCGAGATGTAATTGTAAATTATATGCTAATCATTTCTTCTCACACACTTCTTATGAAAATCTCTTCCGACTTCTTGCTTTCCAGACAACTTTGATCTTCAAAATTTTAAATGCAATGTCCATTTTTATCTACTGTCTTCTTGATTCCTCTTCTTTTATTCTTCTTTCACACTCACTAAACTCTTGTATCTTAGTGTCTTCATTGCCTTGCTTTGGGAGAAATGTTTATAAAAATAAATATAAAGTCCAAACATACTTTTATTCTTTACTAATAGTAATTTTTTGTTTGTTTTTTTTTTCCCAGGAGGTGGGCAGTATAATCGGTAAGGTGAGTATCAATTTGATTTTGTTTAAAATATTATGAAAAAAATGTTCAGGTATTTACTTGTGATGTTTTTAAAAGTATTGGGTTGGCCAAAAAGTTTGTGTTGTTTTTGTCTTTAGATAGGTTAGGTTTGGTTTCTTTTACGGCATATCAACCTCAATGGGTTATTTAATGATGAAAAATTTTTATTGCTGGTAATATTTTGTTTTGTCAAAAATCTATTTCTGGTAATATTTTTCCTTCAAAAATCTATTGCTGGTAATAGTTTTTTCTTCAAAAACATATTGTTGGTAATATTATTTTTTCTTTCAAAAAATTATTGCTGGTGAGAATTTTTTTTACAAAGTATTTCTGATTTTTACATTTTCATAGTGTTTTTACCCCATTTTGGGGGTTAACTATTTACCCATAGCTGAAACCCTAACAGGTGCTACCGCCCTGGGTCAGAGTGGACTTTGGAACACGAGCAATTAAGAGGTGATTCCATGTTCCTCAAAACCTCCTGATCAAAGGCCTTGCTGCTGGATGTAGTTTATCGTCTTACCCGGGACGCAGATGTAGTTTATTATCATACTCAGGACAGTCTTTAGATAGGATTAGCAGTGCTTAGTGGAGCTTTTTCCTGTATAACACTATGACTGGATTAAGATGAACACGCTAACAATGGCTTCTGAGATAACACTACCATCACAGATGCTCATAGATCAGGGGTTGGCGACCTATGGCACGCATGCCAAATGTGGCACACCAAGCAATTCCCGATGGCACGCAGATGCAACTATACTGAACATACCTTAGTTACAGTTTCTAAGAGAGAATATACAATTTTGCACAAACAAGGTCAGTTCATCTAAATTGTCTGTCTTTTTGCTAGCATGATCATCAGTGGCTTAATAATTTTGTGATGTTTTTAAGAATATTGGGTTGACCATAAACTGTTGTTTTATTCTTAGATGGCATTAGGAGTGTTTAGTTTTGCTTGTACTTGCATAAAGCCATGACTATTAGGTTGAAATTACTGGCAATGACTCATTATTAACTCCTTCATAACAATTCTTTGTGGATCTCGAGATTTAAAGAGATAAGAAGTATCTGTCCACTTGTTTTCAAACATGCCCATCTATTTGTGATCAGGAAGAATCCTTTCAGGTGTCTATTTTACAAATTAAAATGTCTGGGAATGAATCTGTCTAATTTGGACTTCTTCCTTACTAATGGAATATGAAGGATGAGTTGACTTTGTGTTATGGTAGGTACTAGGTGTGAAGGTCTGGACTGGTCGTACTAAGGAATGTAGCTCATCTAAACATTTGCCATGGAAATAGGGATAGAGTAATGAGAAGCTGGAAACATTTTGATTGTGGGGAAAGAGGTTGTAGGGTGGAAAATAATTCATCACCCACAAGGCTATGAAAATGCTTTTGAGTTTTGTCTGGCCTGGGAAGTGATGATTACCAACTACAGCCTACATATAGACATAAAACTCTTTTTTTTTTATTATCTGACCTGGCTCTTGTAAAGACAGAGGATGGCAGGAGGAGTCTGATAATTTCTGGAGAGATACAAGAAACTGACTATTTTTTTTCCAGTATCTTTAGTAATAGATATTATATAGGAGTTTCTGTTGAGATCTGGAGTGTGCTTTAGTCTCAAAAGTCATTCCAAGCAAGGTGCTTAATTGAAAGTTCAAGGAATTGGTCAAAAGGTAACAAGATATGGAATGGAATCAGTAATATGTGATTTGATAATGTTCTTTTGTTTGCACTTAAAACAAACAAACTTTTTATGCCACCCAATAAAAAAAATAATATCTTCATTTTTTTTCCTGCAAAGTTTTATCAGCTGAAATACTTCAAGTAGTCTTTATTAAATCATACAGAAAACTGCTTTTGTTTGGTTTCATGTTAACAATAAGTAATTTCTTAATAGTTTTTTCTTTTTTTTAGAAATCTTAAATGAATATACGGAACAAAAAATCCTTTTATTTATATTTAATGTGTTTTGTATGTTTACAATCATATGTTTTTTTTGGGATGTGCATGGTATCACCTGTTTTACCAGATAAACTGAGAATTCCTTTTTTTTCCTGATTCCTTTTCCAACCGATTCCAAATTGTTTATTCATAGTCATTTTTTTTTTATTTTGACTGTAAAACAAAACGGATAAAAGAATTTATATTTTACTTTTAAATTAACACAATTTAAACTTGAACAGTGGTTGATATTCTGGCAAAAATGAATTCCATTTTTGAAATTTGGATCCACTAATTATTTACATCTATGATTCATCTAATATAAAGCCCACAAAATTATCAAAGTATATATCTATACATGTATGTATTTATTGCAAATATATATATATATATATATATATATATATATATATAGATATACTACAGTTCAAAAGTTTGAAGCCACCTCGGGTAATTTTTTGCACCAAATTAGTTGTTTTGCACTTTAAATAAGAGAAAGTTATTATACATCATTAAAAAAACAGACATCATTTTTTATTAGAAATTTTATTATGACAAACAGAAAAAAAACTTTATAATTAAATTTTGCTCTCATCAAAATATCCTTCTTTATCATTGATTACTGCAGCACAAATTTTTGGCATTCATTGCAAAAGTTTCTCAATGTTCCATTCTTTTTTCAATGACTCTAAAAGTTCTTTTTCGTCTTTTTATCACTCTTTTGTCAAATTCATCCCATGATAATTCTGGGGGTGGCTTCAAATTTTTTAAATGTAGTATATATATATATATATATATATATATATATATATATATATATATATATACAGGACCATATTTCTTCCAAAATGAACTTTAGATAATTTCTGATAGAATTTTCTCTTTATCTGAGAAGGATTATTCATAATTTTGTAAAGTCGATCAATAAAATTAGTTGACACAAAATGTGTGTTGCCTTTAATAAAATTTGCCTCAAGGAACATTTGCTGCCTAAATACACACAACATAAATACATACATACATACATACATACATACGTACATATATATATATATATATATATATATTCTTTCTCATTTGTATATATATATATATATATATATATATATATAATGTATGTATGATAAAAGTGGAAAATGTTTCTCATACAATTTCCCCATATTATTGTTCTTGATATATAAAAATATATATTGTTATCCAATATATATCTAATATATATATCTTTATTATTATTACTTTTGTTATAAGAGATTAAAATAAACACATGTTGAAATCGAAATATATATATATATATATATATATTATTATGTTTGTTATAAGAGATTATAATAAGAACATGTTGAAATCGCTACACAAAATCTTTCATGTTTCAATACTATGAATTGTCTACAATCGTGGTACATTTGTCGCTTACATATTTTTCACAATTGTCAATGATGACATTTCTAGGTTCCAGTTTATTGTGATATAAAAAAATAACTCACCCATATCCACCCTCTCAGCTTACTTTTCTATTTAGCATGGATCTGACATTTAATTGGTTCATCAACACACATACCCACAAGTCTATTTTTAATTCTGACCTTATGTTCCCTATCTTTAACCTTTGGAAAAGAGGTAACAATTTGTTTTTAAATTTCCTTAAAAATCATTTAATCATCAGTTAATTACCATCACCTAAAGAAGTACAATCTTAGTATTGAAACATGAAAGCTTTTGTGTAGCGATTTAAGCATGTTTTTATTATAATCCCTTATAATAATAATAATAATAATAATAATAATAATAATAATATATTGCCCTACTTTGTATTGAGCACTTTTTTTAAAAGTAAATGCTACAAACTGTGGAATTTTGCTCCATCTTTTCTTTCTCTCATATATATATATATATATATATATATATATATATATATATATATATATATATATATATATATATATACAGGTGTCCATAAAGTTTGTGTGCACTTTAAAAAATTTATAACTTTATTTGTATTTGCGATAGAAAGAATTTGTAAAAAGGATTAGAAAGAAGTAAATCTATATTTTTTAAGATTTTATTGAAATTTTATTTAAGTTTACACATGTCCTCCATCATTAGCAATACAAAGGCTAATATGATTTTGCAGTTCACAGAAAAATATTTGCCAACTGATTTACAGGAATGCCTTAAATGCCATAAGTTATTTTAGCTATACTTAAAACTAGGTACATTAAACTTTATAACATTTTTACAGATTATTTCTATCACAAATACAAATAAAGTTATAAATTTTAAAGTTCACACACACACACACACACACATGTATATATATATATATATATATATATATATATGTATGTCTGTGTAACTATAGACCATTAAAATATCTATTTGTATAATATAAAATATTAAATAAAAGATGAGGGATTGAATTGACTGAAAACATACAGATCAACTATAGTTTCATTTCTCCTCGGTATGGTAATGTTAAAATTATAGTATTGTGGTCTGTAAGTTTTAAATTATCTGTAAATCATATTTAATATTTGTATTTTAGTCTATAATTTATTCTATTTTATTTTACAGGGAAATTAGATCTATTTTGAGCATCTAACGATTAGTCTATTAGTGTGAAAGTTTCAGTAAGGCCAGTGCTGGATAAAGTTTTAATAAAATCCAGAAAAAATAATATCGACACACACACACATGTATATATATATTTATTAATATATGTGATTATATTTATTTTTAATATATACTATATATATATATATATATATACATATATGTGTGTGTGTATATGTGTATATATATATATATATATATATATATATATATATATATATATATATATATATATAAAAAAGGCTTAAACACTAATATTCCATTGTCATAATTTATTCCATTGGAATTTATATATTTTAGATATAAGATTGCATATGTATGTGTATATTTATCACTAATATTATATATATATATATATATATATATGTATGTGAAAAGTGAATATAAATATAAATAAATATATATATATGTATAATCATT